GCATTGGGGCAAAAAAAAAAAAAAAAAAAAAAAAAAAAAAGAAAGAAAGAAAAAAAAAAAAGCCAGTGCTCTGGACATTATTTATTTTTTAGTGGAACTACATTTTATATACATTACCAGAAGATGGCGTATGCAGCAATTTTGTTTCAAACATACAGAACATCTGAGGTATTTGAGGTAGAAATTTTACTAATGGGAAAGTCAGGAAGGAAATCACAGCTAGAGTTTGCAAAGCTGGGAAGGGTGACATTAAAAACGTTTAATGTTTTTGAGCATTGTCTGTATATGCAAGAATCAAAGTAAACTAAGATGACAGCCAATGTTAAAGTCATTAGTGCCAATTACTAGTTCAAGGGGTTAAGAAATAGCAATGGAAATGAATTATTTAGGGCTTCTATAATGCAATCAGAATGAGTGAGCCCAAGTGCTGTCTTCTGTTAACTTTCAAGTAAAAAAGGAGCTGCGTATTTCTGTATGGACCAAAATGCAGCAGAAATAAATAGAAAGGCAGGTTTACATTTTGCAGAGATTCCTGCTAGCTGCCCTGTGAGGACACATTTACAATCTCTTCACAACACGGAAAAAGCTTAAAAATGTAAAATCTGAGGATCTGAAAAAAAATAATTAGAAATCATAGAATCACAGAATCATAGAATCATTAAGGTTGGAAGGCACCTCAAAGGTCATCCAGTTCCAACCCTGCTATGAGCAGGGAACCCCACCACTAGATCAGGTTGCACAAAACCTCATCCAACCCGGCCTTAAGAACCTCCAGGGACGGGGCATCAACAACTGCCCTGGGCAAACCATTCCAGTTCCTCACCACCCTTATAGCGAAGAATTTCTTCCTAATATCTAACCTAAATCTCCCTAAATAAGTGAAGTTATAACACTTCTCTGCCACCTTTTCTGTTTTCAACCCTCGAAGTGTTCTACAAACATTAACTTAGTGCAGACTTTAGGAAAGCTACAATACGTTTCTCCTGCTCTCTTTTTTACAGGTGAAAAAACAACACAGAGCTGAAAAGTCTTTCTGAGGGTCACTTGCCATGTAAACACCAACTTCAACTCTCCTGCTCATTCCACTAGATCACACTGACAAATGTATGATAGCTAGTATGATGGCTCCCAGTGTGAAATGGTCTCCTGGGAATTAAATGTATAACCTGTTAACTATTTAGCTTTCTTACTTTCAAAGTACATCTTTAAATAACACCTTTTCAGTGAGCAATTGAATTAGTTCATAATTTATAACATTAAATCATGGCAAAGTGGGGTTTTTTTAAGTCAAATCTAATGAAATGACTGTTAGCTTCAAACAAGAAGTTGAGCCTGTGATTCATTGAAGGGTTTATCTCTGTCAGATTTGCAGTTACACATATTAAAAATTGATCCACTTATATATATATTGCTGTAGTTGAAGTTATCAAGGTTATAAATTCTGAACAGCTCCCAAGCTTATGGCGAGTAATACCAATTTTAGGATGACAGTATTTAGAATAACCTTTCTTTTTGCACTGAAATGCATTTTTCTCTGCAACCTGCATCTTTAACCTCTGATAGTTTCCCCTTCACAAAGCACAAAGACTTCTGTTTTATTTGTGTGTTTTAGAGATCACTGAGAAGTAGTATACTTTCTTTTTCTTTTCTTCAGTGTATGATTGTCTTTGAAATCCCTTCAAGTGCAAGGCATTAAATACTTCTTTTAGACACCAAAAGAAAATTCTTCACCATGCGAACAGTTAGACATTGGAATAATTTCCCCAGGGAAGTGTTGGATTATCCCATGCTGGACACTTTTAAGACTCAGCCTGACAGGGTGCTGGGCCATCTCATCCAAACCAGGTTCATACCTGGAAAGGTTGCACCAGATGATCCTCAAGGTCCCTTCCAATCTGGCATTCTATGATTCTTTGTGTTTACATACCATTTCCAAAAGCAGTGGAAATGCCAGTCCAACATATTCAAAATGAATGGGATTTGGAGCTATTTCCATGTTTTTTAGTATGATCTGGGGTGTGAAGAGAGCCTGAGTCAAAGGGTGGATTTGCATCTTGATACGTGCGCAAAAGATCATGCACATTTATATATGCGGTGTATGTGCCTATGCATTGAGCTCTCTGAGCAGGTGACCCTGGTTTCTGCTGTTAATGTCCCCAACACCAGTGAATGGAATCAAAATCCCAGATTCCAAATCCTGCATTTTGGTCAGAAGTGAGCTCAGACTTTCCATCTCATCTGGTCAAGCAGTACTGGGTGAACTCCTGGGCAACAGCTTCTCCCATTCAGAAGTAGCAGCACCATCCACTTGAGGACCCTCTGTGGGAGCTAAGATTTTTTTTCTTGCTATAAATTCTTCCCAGTCCTTGTTTCTCCTAACTGTTCATTCCAATCCTTCATTATATTTTTTTCTCTCTCAGATGTATTTTTAACACCTTTTTTTTTTTTTTTTTTAGGATATATAATCAGCACTCACCTGACAGGAGAGTGTACTCAAGACTTAAGAAAAAGCTTATTTGAGAAGACATTAAAATAAATTCTCCTTATTCCAAATATATATGAGGTACAGAACAGGGCCCACAACAACTTTTATAGAGAGCATTGGCGTCCTCAGTCTAAAGAGAATGAAAAGGAAAAATAATATCCCATCCCCGACGAAAAATCCAAGAAATACATAAGAATAAAAGGAACATTTCTACAGGGAATTGTTTATGACAGAGGTTTTTAGTTCAAAATAAGGAAATCACTAGGTGCTGCAAAAGGATTACATTGATCAAAAATAGTCTTCTAAATTATTAGGATCCAAAGAAGAGCTCAAGGAAAAGCTACAAATGAAAGTAAGCAAGCTCAAATGCAGGAGAAACTCCGTCTTTCATTTGCAGCAAAGATTGATTGTGATTGGACTCCCAAATAAGACAGATGCTACATGCAGTTGGGAATATTTGAAAACTGACTTAGACCTATGATCCATAGCAGTGCTAGATTTATTGACCACCTGCTGTGAAAACAGACCTTTGTTTGTTGCGGTTTTTAGTTTGGTTCTTTTTGCAGCAAAACCTCAGCTTGCTGTTTCTGAAGTATCTCCTGTGTCATTTTTCCCATTTCCTTGAAGATGTGATTAACCACAATGCCCGTGCTGCTCCGTTCCTGCACGCTCACCAGTCAAGGCAGTGTTAATCAGGTGAGACCACTGAACCTCCTGTTGAGCCTGCTGAAAGGAAAGTGAGCATGCTAAAAATATTTAGAGAGATTTATTTTATTTCTCCACATGAAGTCCTTCATAATTTACCATTTCAGCTCATACCTGTTCTGTTTTCTGCTTTGTTTTACTTTAGAAGGGGGCCTTTCTCTCCTGGCTTTTGCTGTAAGCACATCAGAGTTTTGGATCTTTGCTTATCAGTGCAGTCCAGTCCCTGTGTTTAGCTATTTGTCCTATCTGGTAAACCAGTAGACATCTGCAGTTGGACTTCTGAGCACAGAAAGGCTGAAATTATATACTTCTTAAGCAATAAGGCTACAGTATTCTCCCCTTTGCAAGTATGTATGGTGTCCATAAACACCCAGAGATTTGAATGGGCATGGCTCTGATGCAAGAAGGGGATTGATCCTTATGCTTCTGAGCTGCAGAGGAAGGCTGCCCTACTTCTCTAAATCACAGTGAAATAACCCCCTCATCAAATGGTTATTTAATTTAATCCAACAGGTCTCCTTGGAACAGGCAGGTTTTCTGTGAGAAGCTTGAAGAAAAATCAAACATTACATTTTGGGGTATTCATCATAAGCAGTTGAATGAACAAATGTCTGGAAATAAACATCAGTTTGTCTCCAATATTTCAATACCTAGGCTTGGAGACATGACAAATTTTAGAAATAATAAGATTGTCAGGTTTCCACTGTAAACTGCTAATAAATAAATGTGCTCTGTTATTTGAAAATTTGTGTTTACTTAGCATTTTAATGGTAAGTCTTGTAAGCATTGCAACAGCCCCATGGAGCTGTTGGATGCCATATATGCAGTAACAACAATGATTTTTTGCTGTGTAATCATCAGTACGGACTGCAAAGTGCAAAAGCAAATATGCACATGAACATACCAGTAGTGGATGAAGTTGCCATTCTGGATAACCCAGCCTGGGTCTCTGACTACATTTACTAAGCAAGGTAATAAGGTGTATTTGTTTCTGACAGTTCTCAATGGGTAGGGAGGCTCTACAGAGTGACTTGGACAGACTAGATTGATGGGCAGAGGTCAACTGAATGAAGTTCAACAGGGCCAAGTGTTGGGTCCTACACTTGGGCCACAACAACCCCATGCAACACTGCAGGCTTGGGTAAGAGTGGCTGAAAAGCTGCCCAGCACAAAGGGACTTGGGGGTTCTGATTGATACATGGCTGAATATGAGCCAGCAGCGTGCCCAGGTGGCCAAGAAGGTCAATGGCATCCTGGCCTGCATTAGAAATAGTGTGGCCAGCAGGACTAGGGAGGTGACTGTCCCTCTGTACTTAGCACTGGTGAGGCCACACCTCTAATACTGTGTCCAGTTTTGGGCTCTTCAATACAGGAAGGACGTCAAGGTGCTGAAGCATATCCAAAGGGTGACAAAACTGGTGAAGGGCCTTGAGTCTTATGAGGAGCAGCTGAGGGAACTAAGATTGTTTAGTCTGAAGAAAAGGAGGCTGAGGGGACACCTCATTGCCCTCTGCACTACCTGAAAGGAGGTTGTAAAGAGGTGGGCACTGGTCTCTTCTCACAAGTAACAAGAGGCAATGGCCTCAAGCTGCACCAGGGGAGGTTTAGACTGGACATTAGGAAGAACTTTTTCACTGAAAGGGTTGTCAGACATTGGAACATGCTGCCCAGGGAGGTGGTTGAGTTACTATCCCTGGACGTGTTTAAAAGTCATCTAGATGTGGTGCTTGGGAATATGGCTTAGTGCTGGTCTTGGTAGAGTAGGGTTAATGGTTGGACTCAATGATCTTCAATGTCTTTTTCCAATCTAAGTGATTCTATGATAAAAAACAACTACAGCACAAGGAATAGACTGGTTGATAATAGAAAATAAAGCTAAGTTTCTAGCACAAAGCAAGAACAAAACTTCCAATTCTAGCCAGACTGAGATGTCAGCAGTGATGCTGAAATAGAGAAATGGGTAGATTCATATGCACTTGGGAGGAAAAATATCTGAAAATGTAAGGACTGGGAACTGACCTGGTGTAATACAGAAGGCATAAATTATATTCACAAAAATGTCTTTGTGAATGGACTCGTCACTTTTTTGAGATATATCCCAAAAATCTCAATGAAGTTAACATTGTTTCTTAGACTGAGCACTCAACAGTGCTGCTCAAAATCATTAGCTATCTTAGGAAATCTTGGTTCTTTTACATGGAAATCCATTTGTAGGTCAGGGTGTTGTTTTTTTTTAAAATGAATGCATCAATATATAGCTATGTAAGTAAATATAGAAATAAATTATTTTATTCAGTTCAAGACAGGGCTGTGGCCATGTTATATTTGTCTTTCCTGAGCACGGAATAAGAGCTTAAGAGCCTGTGGAAAGAACTAAGAGGTGAGTACCCCTGAAAGAGGGAGGCAGCATGAACTTGCTTCTTGTGCTATTGCCTGTCCTGTGTATCACTTACTACACTTTTACCATTCAGTTCTAGTTTCACAGGATTTAACCTCAGGCAGAGATTAAATGGGAAACTTTGAAGAGTTTACACAAACTTAATGAGCCCATTGCACACAACAAGACTTCTTTTTCAAAGGTGATTTATCTCTTCTATGTGGCTGGAGCAATAAATACCCTGCAAATTAACTGCATGCTTGCTCATAAAATAAAATCCACATTAATCTCAACTTTCAGGGACAACTATAAATTGAATAAAAGTGAAACAGGGCAAAGAGGGTTTGAAAACAACAGCTCCATTGCTGGCAACACAGCCCTGGGCAGACATCATGCCAATGCTGGCTGAGTTCAGCTGTCACGAGACTCCAAAGAAATGACACTTGGGTCACCTCTGACAAGGCTGAACATGAAATATCACGCCTACATGAGCCACAAACAGGTCCTGGAGACCACTGTGGGAAGTAATTATCTCTGCTCCAGAAAGAAGATCAGTAGGAAAGCTGAATTTTTTGTCAGCAGAAGAAGCAAGTCATTGGGAAGACAGACATGGAGAACATAGCAGATACTTCAAAATTCAGCACTGTGCACTATTGGTCTTCACAGGTCAACTGAACTGAGCAAGTTGTTCAGTTGATGTGTGCAAGTCACAGGTGTGTCAGTGTTGTGTATGAGTTATCCTAGGTCTAACTTTATGCAGCCTTTTGTGAAAATCATATTATTTAAGTCTTCTATAAAAACAAAACAAATAACAAACCCCACAGTTCTAAATGTCTTTTCTTGGGTTAAAAGGTTCTTTTCAAGCTAGCTCTAAGGAACCTCCTACACAACTAAAGATAAAAGATTCCCTGCAAGCACTGCCTCCAGCTGATGCCAATGGGATGGTATGGAGGGAGCAGGGATGGTTCCATATTTGAGAGCTAAAGGTAAGGAGGACGGTGAAGACAGAATACAGCACTATTTCAGAATTTTGAGGTGGCTATTTTTACTGGATTATAACATGTGGTGACATTCCTATATTTTTCTTAGTCTGAATAAATGTATTAATCAGGGCTCCTTTTCATCAAAGAATACTGTGTGTAAGCATCTGTAGGTGTATGGCCCCTCTACATCCTATAGATGATACAGAGATTCAGTGTCAGACACACACTTACAAAACCCCCTGAACTGCCATCTTAACAAGCATTATTTGCTATTAGATTTACAGCACTCTGCTATTCTTGTGCTCCAAATCAGTCCTGGGTGAATTCCATCCCTGCAGCTCACCCATTTTTCTATTACAGCTAATCCAATTACCTTAGGCTCTTATCTTCCTACCAGTGAGCACATCTGTCATCTTCCTCGTGCAAATCATCCTGTAGAAATATGCGAGAGAATTTATGGACCAAAGTTTATATGGGTGCAAGAGTTTGTTATCTTTGTGGTAAGCAAGGCAACATATTGATGGGCAAGATGGATGGGTATCATTTAAACAACTGAAAAGGAAGCATTCATGAGTATTTTTTAAAGGCTAAAACTCACCTCCAGCTCAGATTGGAAAGTGCACAAAGAGAAATGTTCTTGAAAACAGATGGTTGCACTGGAAAAGCTATTGGACTCAAATTTTCCCCCTTTCCAAAAAGAAACTATGCAGACTGTCATTTGCTGATGGAGTTTCATACACTCTAGATACCAATGGGGTCTGGTGGTCCTCAGCAGAAGTCTCTACTTGAATCAAGCCAAGACTGTGCTTTTGCCAAGAAAGGTTAGACCAGATGGCCCTTGAGGTTCCTTCCAACCTGGCATTCTATAAGTCTGTGATTCATGACTTTATGATCCAAAGCTAAAACTTGCCTAAAACCAGGTTCTAGCTAGTCCTGGCTGTGAAGAAAGGAGAATCAGTCTTTTCTTGCAATTTAGCACTTGAGCTAGTTAGAGAAATGAGTTTGAACTGTGATAGAGAGAGGATCTTAGCAGAGCTGAAGGTGCCTCCACACACTGGTGGCTCATTGCAGGTAGGTTACCCCGCTGAAGCCAAAACGTGAAAATGCACCCAGAGTTTGTCCACTTACTCCATGGAATTCCAACCAAAATCATTCTAGTGCAATTATTCTCTTTCTGCAGCTGTGTGGGGACTTATTTTTCAACCTGGCAGACGTGAGTTCAGCTTCTGGATTCAAACAGCAAAATGGAATTCAATAACTGCTCATCTGAGATGCTTGGGAAGATGCCTGATGACTGAGTTACATTTGAAAAGATGAGGAAGGCAAGACCTGTACTAGCTAAGAGCTGACCATGCTCCAGCACCATAAAATCAAAGAGCAAGTGACTAATGCATGCTCTAAACAGAACTACCAAAGCCCACCAGCAACAGAGAAGGGGGCAGGGATGAATGTCCTGGGGCTCTGGAGTCGCACCCCGATCAGTGCCTCTGCTCCCCACACTACCAGTAGGGTTGGAAAGAGGGAGCAGTCATCATGGGGTTAACTTGTAGGATGAAGGAGGAAGGAAAAAGGGGGGAAAGAACCACTCTGTTTGATCTGGGACTCATAACAGCTCTTAGCTGCTGTAAATA